CATAATAATGATACCTGATCATCTTTACTTCTAGAATATCCAGATAAATCAGTAAATAGAATTTTTTATATCATTTATGCACTATATGAAATATATTTGAAATAAACTAAATTCAATTAAAAAATAAAAATGGTATATATTAATAATTTATAATATTATTTATATTTATTATATTCTGAAATATATTGATAATATTAGGAATAAAATACTTAAAAACGTTAATACATAATATTATACTTAACTTGTCTATCTTTCTTAAATTAAACGAAAGAAACTATGATCTCCACACTATAATTTAATAATAATATATTATGGAAGGAAATATATAACAAATGTCGAAGGGCAAATCATTGTATTACATACAAGACTAAATATAATTACAGTTGGAATGAAATAACGTATGAAGGATATTTTCAATAAGTGTATACTATTTTAATTGTAATGTACTCTTTTTCGTATCATAATGATTATAATAATTATTATTGAAAAATTCTTTTCATAAAATTGAATTCTTATCCAACATTTAAATAAAATTTAAGCCATACATATATTTTTCCGTAACAAAGTAATATTGCAAATATTCTTTCATACATACAATGATAATTACTGTTTTACTAAAATCATAAATTTATGACTGAAACCGAGAAATTAGCCATTAATTTTCTATAACTAAATCCTCTTTAAAAGGAAAAACATCGCTTCTTTGAATTTCATTATGATGATTATATTCATTTCTACAGAATCCCTAAGATACCATTCTGACCTCATTTATGTGAGTGCGATATGAATATTATTCAAACATTGTAAACAAATATTGCCAGAATCTTGCTTGTCAATCGTATCATCAAGAGTCAAGCTGAATGTAGTTTTGTCATATTTACCGTGTATTTGTATATTCATGTGTCACAAAAATTACGCAGTTATCGTAATCGGGACTATTTGATTAAAGCTCTCTTCGTTTGTGTGATTGCTCAATGGGTCGAGCTTAAAGCATTTTTTAATCACTGCCTATAGGCATCTGAAATTTGAATAAAATCGATAGTCGATCGATAAATTAATCGTCGATCAACCTTTGATTTCCCAAATGATTACGCGGTCTATGAAAATTTGCTTTATTGCATTAAATTACCAACCACGATGATAAATAATCTTAATCGGATAAATATATTCCTACGAAATATTTTTTCCTCACGATATATCGAATTGCATTTGAGTGTAATAAAAATCACGTCCAGCTATGTATTTTTATAATTATTCTATATTCACAAGCTATAAAACTTCTATAGTAAAGAGCAGCATTAGAAATAACTCATTTCATTTTCTGATAATAAATAAATTATTACAAATTTACATAGTTATAACATATAACAACGAAGTACAAGATACAAATTAATTAATTAATTAATTTAATTTCATATTTTCGGTAATGGATTTGATACGCAACAGAGCATAGATTACAAACTGATATAAACTTTTCGCCTTCATATTATTATTTAAATATAGAAATATATAATTGAATTGAATTTCTGAGAAATTAAATAAATTGCAGTTATACAAAAAGTATATTTAAAATTTAAATTGTCAAATAACATCGCAAATAATATAATATCGTAAATATACTGATTTTTAAGCATTTCTATGTAAAACTTATACAATTCATTTTTATTTTAACCTATAATTATATATTTTATATCAGTAGAATATATGAGTATATTGTATCAGTATAATGTAGTAAAATGAATAATTCAATTCTATTGTAAACAACACAATTTTCAATTTTTGCACACTGAAATACATATTATAATGTTAATTCTCAAGATTTAATTAAAATTTATCAAAAATTATGAAATTTAATATAATTATTGTCATGTATGTTATTTAAAGAATGCGCTATCTTATTCAAATGAAATATGAACTCTAATTTTCTACGAATTTTTTACTGAATATTCAATTATTAATTAACTTACTAACATTTAATGTACAATGTAAATGAAAAAAAATTCATATTACAAATATAATATTTTTATTAACAATTTATATTCACTTACTTCGTATTATATTCTTAGTATTTTATCCATAGACTTTTTAAATTCTAAGTTTTAATGTTTGTATAAAAATCTTTTTTTCTCTTGTTTGCTCTCATATTTGATTGATAAATTGTGACGATTATTGAGTTACTCATCTACATTAACCGAGTCACGATTATTTGCATCAGTTATATTTCATCATGTTCTAGTTTTGAAAAATTTTTTTTATAGTCTTAACTTGAACCAGCCTCAGATTTTCGAAACCCTAGCACTTCCGACAATTTTTATAACTAATAAACTATGCAATGAAAACGTATGTATTTTAAAACTTTAATATCTTGACGTGATTCGAATAACAATAAAAATGCTTTTAAGATATTCTAGAGTAGAATTCCTAAGATGAGGAACGAAGTTTCTTACGATACAGAATACTTTTACTTTTATAGTTGGAACCGTTAAACCGGTTTTCCGGAAAAGTACACTTTGTGCATTTTATCGAACGTTGGAAACCAGCATGGTGACTTTATACAAAACCAGAAACAGGAAAACACTCTTCTCATAGTAGAATATTTCAAGTTATATGCAATTTATCCTTTCAGTTTATCTAGCGTCGTCTTTACCTATATCATTACATTCGTATTACGTGATTCATATTATGTAGCATAGATTAGAAAAACATATTAATTTACCGTAAAAAAATCTATATTTTGAAAATTTATTATATTGTAATAATTGCATTTGCTTAATAATACTTACATTATTATAAATTTAGCTATCAAATTTAGCAAAAAGTATACTGAATTCATTCTATACCCAAAGAATAATAATAATAATATTAAGTATTATTAATGTTAAGGCGCAAGTACTACTTTTATAATAGAATTGGTAAAAAATTCTTCGTAAATAATTCTGCATTTCTGCCATTCTACCTAAATCAGGTAAAAATAGTAAAAATTCTTACTGGAATTGAATTTCATAAGCAGATGGCTGTTGTAGCTTTTCTTAATTCCATAATTTTTATTGCATTATAACTTGTCGAAACTTTCATCTACGAATGAAGTGCAGTTTTAAAGCATAAAAATTATAATATCTTATAAAGAATGACACGAGCGACAAAAATTTTCGCTTATAAAGAATGTGTGCAATTTTGGTAGAAGAAAATAATATTATGAAAATCAATGAAAATAATAAATTAAAACTAATAAAAAAATTATTGTAAAGGATTTAATTTGCATAATATCTTCAACAGTGAATCATAGATTATAACTAATCCTATTTAATACTAAATACTATGTAATTACTATATATTTGTTACTAAATACATTATAACTAAATACACATATAAGAGTACATAAACAAGATTTTTTAAAACAAATTTATAGTATTTTATTATTATAAAACAATCTATGATGTATTTTCAAAATCTATTCAAGTACATTTTGATTTTACAGATACTATATATTGATTTTAGCTTCATTTTAGTCAAAATTTATTTAAACAAGATATTTAAAGTAAAGGAGCGTACTTATATAAACATACATACACATACATATATGAATTTTTAATGTAAAAAACGTATAATAATGTAATTGTATGAAATCTCTATACGCATAAATATACAATCCCTTTTTATACATACTATATAATAAATACAGTACTAGTTAACATTTCTTCCTTTTATAACTATTAATATTTCATGAAGATGTAATTAAAAAATAATATAACAGTTTTATTTGAAATATCAGATAAATTAATCGATTCCTCATTTTTCCAAAGTTTTTCATTGCAGAAACGTATAATAACCAATTATAAATTTATGCATGTTATTATTATTTTGCTTGTTGAAGTCAATATTCCAATAAATATTAAATATTCTTACAACAAATAGCATATGTTGATTTATTAAATTTACTTTTTCTCTAATGTAATACAGAATAAAAATTTGTTGTCAAACATTACATTTGTTGTCGAATGGTCATATTCCACATTAACTTATGTTATTTTTTAGAAAGTTGTAATATGAAATTACAATAAAATATTGTCAATATACAATCAATGCATGGAAACATCCATAGATTGGTGTTTCGTATCACTAAAATTAATAAAAGCAGTACTTTACAATGGCGTTAATAAAATTATTGTAATGTTCATCTGTATTGAAACAATAATTAAAAATTTAATTATAATATTTATAAGTATAAATTAATATTACATATGATCATCCTGTAGACTGCTGCAGTGATGCATTATCTAATGGTTATAAACTAGAATACTTACTTACAACTATAAATTTCTTTGTATTATTTTTTTAAAAAAATATGCTATATTTTTGGAAAAATTAATAAAAACGCCATTCTCAAACATTCATTTAACTAATATAAAATACTTAATATTTTTTCATTTTTTCTTTAATTACTTTACTTTAGCATTATTAGTAAAAAAAATAATAATTAAGCAACCAATGAAATTAAATAATGAATTATTTCATATTAAATATAAATATCATAAGTAAACAATAAATTAATAATGACATAAAATTAATTAATTGAGAAATGATATTTAAAAATATTATGTTATTAAATTCAAATTTAAAAAGTTAATGTATTAACTTGTTAATTTAATATATTGAAATAATGTATGAATATTTATTAATTTAATGTATTCGAAAATACGAAATTCTTTGTGCATTATAATATATAAAAGTTAACACAATGTATTAAAAATATATACTTTAAAAATTTAAATAATTATATTCGCAAAGTTCTCATGCTCTAATTACCACCAATTATTTCTATTATCATGTACTAAGGTAATTGGCATGTTCTTTAAGAACTTGTATTTGTACAAGAATTACCATGCATTGTACTATACAATAATAAGGGCAAGAAATCGTTGAAAACTTTGTATTCAAATGTTTTGTATCGATGAGAATGGATAATAATATTAATTTCCCTTTTATCTTTTCTCTCCTAGTAAATGTTGTTAATGGCGAAGTACTGCATATTACAAAAATCAGCCGACTGCACATGGGTGCATACTTATGCATCGCAGCTAATGGAGTTCCTCCAAGGGTTAGTACGAGAGTTCTTCTAAAAGTGCAATGTAAGTATAAACATGCATGTGATGTGTCGTTATAATTCTTTAACACAAATGATCGTATTCATGTGGCATGAATTTTGTAAAGGGAATTATTTATATTAATTTACAATAATAGTCTTTAAAGTGAAACTAAAAATAATAAATTTATGAAAAAAATTAATGAAATAATGCATTTTGTCATAAAGAAATTGCATATTATTTGGCTATACTATCATATATCATTGTCATTCACATCCTGGCGCTTTACCAATTTTATGGATGTTGATGTCAATAACATTAAAAAAAGATAGTATATATAGATGTTCACTATCAATAAATGTAAAATAAAATTGCTTAAAAAAAAAGTTATATTGTAATAGAATATGAAATTATTTCAGAAGGTTAAGGCATGGCAAGGATTAAATTTACCAATCCTTTTAATGTAATTATTGTAATTTTGATTATTATTTATTTGTAAATTTGAATAAAATTAATGATTTAAAATGTTTCAACAATGAATTTGAATATATTTTTCAATTATATGTGAATAGTATTCAACTGACAAACTCAATGTGTACTAAATCACAAAAAATGGATAAATAAATACGATCGGATAATCGATATCAATGGTAAATGACAAATAATATATTTGTAAAAAGTACATCGAATTGTGTACATAACAATAATAAACGAACGCGAATTTATGAATTTAACATAAGTATATTATTATTTATTATATTATATGATATATAATATTATATTATATAATTTATGATTTATATAAAATTTATTTCCGATATTATAATTTATAGGAATATAATATAAATATTAATAATTAAAAGATTTTAAATGCTTTAAATAATAAAGAATTATTTCTATAAAGAGAATTTACCAATTAGCTACATACTTTAAGAAATACATTTATTATCGATTTTCATTAGAGAAAGTATAAAATAAGTTATAATTACCTAAATTATATGTATTTAACAGAGTTTTTACAGGTGAAAATTTGCATTTAATTTATAGCACATAATATTGATTTAAAAAATTATAAATAATTTGCCTTAAATTCCATCGGCTAAATGAACTATTTAGTTACAGTACATTTAATATCAATAATTTACAATATTAATTGTAAAAAGTAAACCAAATACAAACAAATGCAAAAAATTTTTACGAAAAAAATAATTGAAATAGTTATGAGAAGATTTCAAAATTTCCTTTTTATTTCTTATAGGTGAAGCATTCACACACATGTGTATATATAATAAATACACATGCATATATAAGAAATAAAAAGGAAAGTTATATATATATATATATATATATATATATATATATATATATGCATATAACATATCAATATATAAAAAATGTGTAATCTCAACATATCAATTTATAAAAAATGTGTAATCGAATATTTTACAAATTAAAGTTCTTAATATATAATAATCCCCTCAAAGCTTATCTAATACATAGCAGGGATGGAAGTTCCTGTAAAGTTGATTTATTCCAGCCTGCTATTCTCTCACCTTCTTCTTTACTTCCATAGTTTTCATGTTCTGAATATAAAGCTGGAAATGCTGATAAAATGAAAAGCACTAATATTCATGATGTGCGCAAGGTAGTTTATGCAAGCATATAAGAGACTACCTCCATCCAAACTTATGTAGTAAATTGGAAGATAGCAAAATAGAGAGGGAGAGGGAGATAGAAACCTAGAGGAGAGAATGAGAGAAGAGTTTTAATAAGCAGTGAACATAGTATTGCTCTCGCTTTCCATTATCTTTATATTTTATTTATTCACTGAGTAGCTGCATGTCGATGTGATTATATTCAATTTTTAATTATCAATATCTAATTGTACTATTTTGTTTCATCTACAATCTGTTCTTTATAGCATTTTTCAATATTTACACCTTTATGATAATAATAACAAATATAAATTAAATGCAATTTGTTTCATTTCATACACAATTAGTTAATTGCGTATAATTTTTCCAAGTTCTTTCATTACTTTTTATTAATTTTCACCTTGGTCCATGTTTTTTTCTGTATTATTTTATAAATGTATTAACTTTTTTACTGGTTTAAATTCAATAATCTAGACATTAAATCTTGGACTATTTTGTTCAGGTTCATCATTTTACATTCAATCATTTTTCTTTTATTATATTAAATTAATGTATGCTATAAGTGAGAAATATATGGATGCAACGTATATCCTCTTTAAATTCAATTCATTTCTCATTATTAATACATTTTTTCTCATTAGATCAACTTTAGAACTAGTAGTAATATTTAATTTAATCTTAATAATTTTTAATTTAATGTTAGTATTCTTTATAATTTATTATAAAATATTATAATATATTATATAAAAAATGTGTAATTTATTATAAAATATTAGAAAATTGTTAAATAATAATATTATTCCGTATGAGTTATGTATTTAGAACAATTGGAAATTGAGTAGTTTTCGATGAATAAATTTTACATTAATTTTTTCAATTAGTATGTTACAAATAAGTTACATGTATTAGATCATAATTAATATATGATATGTAAATAATTAAATTTATCAATAATCGTATGAAAAGATAGAAGATATATAGATACGAAAAGAATATTATTTTATTTTTTAACTTTTATAGTATATTATAGTGTTTAAAATATTATTAAGGGCCTTGGTTCCATAAAATTTATACCAACCCGTAGAATTCTTTATTTCTTAAGGATTCGGCAATTATTTTTAAAAGATGCAGCACTGCACGTGTAATATATAACATACTCTGTCCTTTAGCTAAATTTTTATATCATTATAATAAATAAATATTATGTAATAAATATTTGTGATAATATTATGAGGAATTCTTTAGAACCATCAAGTATTTATGATATCCATAAATCATTATTATGAAATATTCTGAAATATAAAATTATTTTGTAATACGAACCATTTTAGAAATTTTCACGACAATCATCTCTATTAATTTATAATATATATAAAAATTGCATTAAATATTATCCGATTATAAATAGATTCATTTACAATGTTTAATTACTTGTACTTAACCTCAATAATCCCTCTGGTCAAGAAACGTATAACATTATTATAGTCTTAAAGATATTAAATTCAAATAAAACGAGCTAATATATCATATATTATGTAAATATAAACTTTTATTAAATTTCCTCAATTATTTTGTATAACGTTTTTATAAAGTCGTTATTTGATCAACTTCAATCATAGTTTACGTGCTATTATAATAACGTAAAAATATAATAAATTTTTATAATAACGTTAAATCAAATTTATAAAGAGTATTTTCATAATTATAACATAGAGAATAATGTAAATAAAACTTACGAATTTCTATTTTTAATTTATATAAAATCTGTTATATGAAAATATAAATTTGATATTGCAAATATGTATGCACTTAGTAATTCACATTACGCACAAATAAAATGTATCTTTAAATAAAAATTTTGGTAATCATAAAATGAATATTCCCTATGAAAATATGGGAATACATTATATGCTTATGAACTTACATTGATAATTTTAAATGTCGATGTTGGTGAATAGAATAAATTAATAATCACCCTGCATTTATGATTATTTTGCTCGTGAGCCGATATTAAATCTATTGGGGATGTTATTTGTACACAAGTAGTATAGATAGACACATGTTTCTCTTGTTTATGTGTTGTTCAGTGGAAGTTTTGATTTTGATAATTATCTATGCAATAAACGTATTGTGTAGGATTTTTTAGCGTCAATTGATTATAATTGACATAAGCCTACGATAGTTTGTTAAATAACTAAATAAATGACAATATTTACTTCAATATATGAAAAATATTTTACGAATAATCATTATCTACTTAATATTGTTTCTTGATATATTCTCTGTAAATTAAATATCCCACGTCTTAAGTTCTTTCTAATTTCTAACTGTTTTAACCCTTCAAATATTGATGTAATGTTCATTTCTATGATAAATAGTTTAACCTAAGATTAATAGTTTAACCGATAATCCTTCATGATTCTAATATAGTATTTAATTCAGAAATTATCTGATATTTCGCTAAAATATTCCTTCAGGCTGATTATACTTCATTGATTCTCGATTGTTTCAGAATTGTTACATTTTTATTTATTACAATTACAATATCGCTGATACTTTTATATTGCTGAAATAAAATTTTATACCCTTCGATTTTGATTATTTATAATTCACAGTTCCACCAATGTTATCAATACCAAATCAATTAGAGGGAGCTTATGTCGGACAGGATGTGACTCTCGAGTGTCATACGGAAGCTTATCCAGACTCAATAAATTACTGGACTACCGAGCATGGCGACATGATTGTCTCTGGTAATTTCATCTAAATACTTCGTTTAAAATTTCATACTCAATTTTTGTGTTCAGAAATCTCAAGCTTTACTTATTTCCTACTAATTTCTCATGCTTTAAAATGTTCTACCGGCAAACATATTCATTATTGTAAAGTAAAAAGCATTAACTCGCCTTCTTTTCATAATAATGTCGCTCGCGCATTAGTTATCCTAGCAATATTAAATGCATACTGTAGTTGCAACACTTATGAACTCGATCTTACTTGCCCAGGCAATTACCGTTCGGTTGTAGGCAATAAATACGAGGCAATAATAACTAAGAATGGCTACAACCAGTACATGAAGCTCAATATTAGAAATGTTGGACTAAAGGACTTTGGATCGTACAAGTGTGTGGCACAAAATTCTCTAGGTGGTACTGATGGAGTCATCAAGCTGGATGGTAAATTACACATTATTAAGTATTGAAGAATTAGTATTGATAACAATGTAATGATTATAGGTGATTAGAGATAAATGTATGCACAATCCATACATTACCCTCTCATACATTCAAACAATTTTCAAAATAATATAGTATATTATTTATATTTTTAACCTACCATTTTTCGATATATTTTAGTTTATTTTTCAATTTATTTGAAATATCCAAAACTCAAAGACGCACCTCAGAATATATAGAATGTACTTAACATATATTCTTATTTTCTTTATTAAAATTAAAACAACATACTTTTCTTAAAATTTAATCTAATTTAATAAGTATAGATTATATTATATTAAATTGAAAATTATACTTCAAATTAACCAAATTCACCAAATATTAAAATAATCAATTTAGAAATATTTTCATTTTGATGTATCTTTTTATATGTTCATAATAATTCTTATGTAAAGATAAAAGAATTTTGAAATTACATTAAAATTTTTAATTATTTCGAAAATATGGAAATTTTATCGTAAATTTGAAGGAACAGTTAAAATTATTAAATGTTATTCTAAAATTAATACATTATTATTTTATTATTTTATATAACACAGATTTAAATAAAAATTAGAATAAATATTTATATTGCTTTTCGATTATAGAAATTCCAGCACCACCAACAAGTACTCATATTCCAAGTCATGTTACTTCTACTGTAAAAAAGAATGGTAATTTACATATTTAAAATGCATTAATAATTATAAAATATCGTGTTTATAAACATGTATGTAGTTCCAACTGATTTATGGATACTTTCTTTATAATATTATGTATAAGACTATTTTATTTTCTTTTGTAGTCAAGAACGGTAACAAAAAACTACACAATCGACCTAACGACTATGAAGTAGAAGAATGGCGAAATCCAGGTAAGTTGATTATAATGTATAGATATGACTGTTAAATTTATATCAGCAGTGACCAATATAATTAACTGTGTTGTTTGAACGCATACATGATACTCAAGAATAAGTTATTCGATTAAAGGTAGAAAATTGGCTTCCATTTAAATGATCGAATTTCTTAGAATTGAAACGACTAGAATAAAATAAAGTAGTAAAGAACTGAACTGAAAACCGTAAATACTAAAGCATTAAAAAACTAAAATGTAAAATATATTAATTAGATAATTTGAACATTTAAATATGAATATGTTTATAAATCACATTAAATGTTATATTATTCTATTGAAAATGCATTTATTTATTCCTATATCATCGTTTATTCTATGTATATTTATATTATATATACTTCGAAAATAATTTTACATTCGAATTATTTAAGTACAATACAATAAATAAAGATTTTCTTCAAAAGTAAGCTTCAAATAGATATAAAGTATCGAATAAAATATAATACAATAAAATGTCTAATGTTTTCTAACGGCATTTTTTATTTATAATACTTTATTACAGTAATGGTATTATTAGCAAATCATTAAGATTCTGATGGTGTTGAGCGTACTAAATAAATTATATTTAAAAATTCAGTTCTTTATGCGGAATAGAATGGTACTTAACGTTAGAACGAAACAATAAAAATGATAAATATAACAATAATAGCTTCGTAGGTGTTAAGCAAAATATTAATAACATTAATATTAATATATTCAAATATACTGGCTATAAAATTATGGCTTACAATGATATTGCGTTTTTTTTTCTACGGTACGTATAGTTAACATCTTACTTATATGGGATGAAGAATAATTAAAATGATTATGATACGAAATTTGCTAATAGTAAGGATAAGAAACTCATAGTCACTTAAAATTACTTTAGTTGAAGTTCCAACATATCATTATACATATATATTCTTCCATGAAATCTATATTGATTGAAGTACACTTTTACCAATGCATGGATAAAAATTATACTCATTTTTGTATATACCACATTTAATACTTAGCTAGCACATTAGATATTTGCTAAATAATTATTGTTAATGAATTATGAATACAGAGTCTCTCTATATTTAGTAAGTGTAATTTATTAAAATTAATTATTTTATCTGCATTACGATAAATCAAAGCATATAAAATTCGATATTTATTTTCTTTCAATTTCCTAGCACACTTATTAGCATGAAAAATTAATAACGTTTTTAAATAGATAATAATTCTATTTCAAATAATAATTTGATAAATTCGTGAAAAGATAAATTAAAAAGCGTAGTTATTAGTTTTATAATTGATTAACAAATTTTATTTCAAATAAAATATATGTAAATTATGAATTAGCGATAATCTAATAGCAATTCATTAGCAATGAGCGAATTTGTTTGTTTGTCTGTTTATAGACTATAAGCGCGAGTATGGTATCCCGTCGATGAGGCCTGATGAAGGCAACGATGACATCGATGATGACTCCGGAGACGATTTACCATCATCTGGCGCTCTCAGTATTGCTCCGGCCTCCTGTCCCGAAGTTGCTATCTCTCTTGTATTTGTACTTTTTTCCCACGTTTTGGTACCAGTTGCCCGTAGGTGATCGCCTGGGCTCAAGCCAAGAACAGAATTCACGAGCTTCTTGTTTATAAGTATTTTTAGCCAAATTAGTGAGGCTGATGATATTGTTCAGTGCGCGAATGCATTGTCGTCTGAGGGTAAGGAACGAAAATTTGAAATCAACTAATGACAATGTGTGTGCAAATTACGTAGTTGATCACTCGGGTTTGCTCAACGAAACAGTTCTACATACGTATAAATAATTATGACAGTTTAACCTTGAGTGAGTATGAGAGAAAACCACGAAATAAAGACGAACGAATGAACTAGATCCATAGTGCGAGAAATAGAGGGAGAGAGGGTGAGAGGGTGAGAGGGAGAGAGGGAGACAGAGAGAGAGAGAGAGAGAGAGAGAGAATGAAGGAAGGGATCGGAATAGGTAACAGTATCATACACAATTGATGAGTCAAGTGATAACACGTTAAATTATTTTCGTACCGAACTATACTTATATATTATAAGTAACTATATACGATACGTATACTAAAGAGTTACGGGAGCTATGTTGTATAACTTGTTGTATATTCCGAATTTTGCCACACTGAATAGAAGTGATGTACTGATATAATTAGAATACTCGCAACTGTCAGTGTCCATATTACGGAAACATCAAATAAAATGTTTAAGAGAACGCTTGATACACCAAGAGATATTAGTCGTTTGTAAAAAAATTAATACATTTGAAAAGCCAACTATATTCAATAAGACATTTGGCTGAGTGTCGGTAATATTATTAGTATAAAGGCACGAATATAAGAAACTTTTGCCTTAAAGGAAAATATCAAATATTTAATCATCAACAATTCTTAAAGATTACAGAAACTAAAAATCTCACGCCTCTAAAAGTTTTGAAATACAAAATTAATTTAAAAATAATATGCTTAAACTTAAAAAGGATTTTAATACGCAAAATGTTTCTTGTAATTGTCTTGAGATTAAAAATATTACGTCATCACAAACGATTTATAAAACGAGGGATCTGAGAATTATTGTATAGCAAAATACTTCTCACCTTTCTTTTAAAAATTAAAGCGAATTACTTTCTCTTAATTTTTTTCTTAATTTTCTTAATTTTTTTTTTTTTTTTTAATTTAATTTAATTCAATTTATAAATCATTATTCTTATATTATATATGATAATTTATCATAAAATTAATAAATATACGAATTATGATTATCCCCGTAATTGCACTAAAAGCTGCGAATGATTAATAAATTATGATCGATTGCTCTTTTCTATTGTACAATAAATATATTAAATGAAACGAGAAATGAATAGCTGAGACGAATCGCTGTTAAAGTACGTGACTGAGAAAATGAATTTTGAACAAACTTTCGTACTTTAAACTAGGACCAAATTGTTTTCATCCAAATTTGTTTGCATATTAAATTATTGCGGTAAAAATGTATTACTTTATCTAGATCGCTTTTCTCATTCCAAAAATTACATATTTCTCATTATCCACCATTGTAATTTAAATGTATTTAAAGTGTAAATTATTTATAAACCCGATTAGAAAAAAGCATGCTCATTGTAAATAGAGTTGCAACTATTCGGCTAAATCCATTAATTTAATAAATACATCATTTAAATTATAAAAGCAAAAATGTTCGGCGATTGTTATCACATAATATTACATAATATCATATATATTAAATATTATTATTTAATATATTCTATGTTTAATATATTAATAATTTAATTTATAATTATTAGTATTAATTATAAAGTATTTTGAATTAAAAACATTTTTTTGTTGAAGAATTGTTTAAAGTACAAAGTAGGTTACACAAAATTATCGGAAAATTATGTAATATCTTTTGAATTTTTATTTGAAACAGTACATTTACTTATATTATATGTCCATAGTCAGTTATATTTTCAAAAAGTAGTTTGCAAATATGAAATTAGGCATAGAAAAATAAATTGTATTTATAAGTAATACTAAAATATTTGTCATTTCAATAAATTATAAACACAAATCGAAAATCAAAAGTGATAAGTTAACGAATAAATATTATAACACATTGTTTGTTGGAAAGATTTAATTACATTAACGTCATCATTGTACTAGGAAGGTATAAAATTTATGATATTATAAATTTATTATTTATGATAAAAGCAAATTTCTCATAATGTAGGTGAAGCATTAGATTTTTCAAATTTAGTCTCATTATCGCTGAACTATTTACAACATATAAATTATATATAAATAATGTCAAAAAAAAAATAAATATATAAATACATACATACACACATGCACACAGATATATATATATATATATATATATATATATATATATATCGCCATATACAAATACAGAATCGAAGGACAGTGTGTTTCAAAGAAATATGATTGAAGTCACTTGGTATCGTCGTAAGTACAATAATATTTATTTGAATTTTTTTTATTATATCTCAAAATACAACGATCCACCAATCTAATGATTTAATTTTAATAAAGAGATTATCAATTAAACTTTTATTATGTCAAATATTTCTATGAAAATTTATGTAAATACTGTAAAAAAAAAATATATATAATTACGCATGTTTCCAATTTATAGTCATATTTGTTCTCATAATATTAACAATATTTTAGTATTTGAGTGTTTTTGTATTATATTTTATGCATTATGAATTTTTATTATTTTTTATAGTGAAATTAACGTTTCGTATTTTGTATATGTTGAAATTAAAAATTCGCAGATATAAGGGAATTTTGAATTAGAAAATCATGAAAATTCATTAATTCTATAATTATTTAATGATATAAGAATTCCGAATAGTAGTAGATTTAAAATTGGAAAAAATTAACGAATATAAGTATTAATCGCAAATTTAGATTTGCTTGTTAATTTTTAATGCTTCAAATCCTAATTGATTCTTAATACAAAATTGAATTGTTACGTAAACGCAGAATCTTTTCAAGTGACTATGAATTATTATTTATCATGTGCACAGTAATGATAATCTTAATATTATTATTATATTATATAGTAGTGTTTCATTAAAATAGAAAAATATTCAAATGAGATGCAGCTGTAAGTGCTCTCGTTTTAGTGTCATATGGGACTTGAAAAACGCTTAAGCAAGTATTAAACAGTTGAAAAATATATAATGTTAGTATGTTAAACGTGCTGTATAACTGTTGAGAAATGAAATGCGTTTGAAAAAGGCATAATATAAATGTGCTCTATTTGTTCGAGAGAAAAAATGGTTATGCAATTGGTTACATTATATTTGATAATTTCTAACTGGAGCTTCAGACAATCGTGAACATCAGTGTGCAATATTCAAATAAATTGTTGTGCCGTTATAAAATAAAGTTCCCTGGCAGCTTCATCGAATCTCAATTATTGCTTTATTCAAACATAACTATTAATAAAATTACGATTAATATTTACTTTATCGAGCTATAAATTAAATTACGAAAATAAAAATTGATAAAAATTGAAGAAAAAATTATTAAAGGAAATGGAAATATGCGTGTAAAATCAGTTAACTGTAACTGCAAGGAGAAGTCTAGCGCGCGGTGCTCATGCTTAGACAAAAATTATTTTTATGCATTTTATACCATGTACAAATGTATGTAAATTTGCGATATTAACAGACTCTATTTATTTTAAGAGCCCATACCTTCCATAATACACGGTTTCTCATAATTCTAGAGATTAGAATATATTGTAAGTACAATGAAATGAAAATTTTTGAACAGTGTCGATGACGAAAAAACGACAAATTTATTTATAGTTTCGAAATGACGTAGAATGCGTTTTATTAAGAAAATTGTATTAAAATAGATAACGATTTGTTGTAATTATAATATAAATTATATACACATATTGCGTAAATATGATTGAATATATGAGTATATAACAAAATTTTTATTATTTTTTATTGTCCCTATCATTTCCAAATATCCTTTACGACTCGATATTGTTTGAAATTATTGCAGTGATTTCCAAATCGTCCACTAATTAAATAATTGATTTCTTCACATATACATTTTTTATTTTCTGCTTTCAACTAACATTGAATAATTTTTTAAGTAACAATATTTTTTACCATATTACCGTGCACACGTATAATGTGTGCAATAATTTAAACATTCTATCAAATTTATGTTTGTTGCGTTTGATGCTTTTATTGTTTCGGTAATATTTTTTCAGTATTTTATTGCATATTTACTGCTGAAATTTAAATTTATTCGAATGTTTTAATTAAAGATTTTTTTTATCCTTTTTATCTGTACGAGTGATTATGGGTAAGTATAATTGAATCATTAAGTTATAATCGTCGAGATAAATAAATAATTTCCGTTTTTAATATTTTTGTTTATTTATTTATAATACCGTTAATAATGATATTGTTCTACTAAAATAAAAATAATATATATAATATACACATGTAATGTGTTTCTTATGCTTACATCATTTTATATGTCTATTTTTTGGTACTTAAAATAAACTGAACTCATGGCAAATTGAATTCATGAGAAATAATTTATACCATTCAGGATGCAGATCTGAGAGAAGAAACTATTGCCCCCCATTGGCCTCGTAATCGAATTTAATTTGAAACCGAATTAGGTGGTATCTATTTACACTAAAAGATGAGAAATAGTGTAGTACTGCGGGATGTAAGGTCACTCGAATATCACGTACATGTTAATTTAGCCAAGTCCATTTGATTTCGCGAGACGCGTACTTCCGGTCAGACCCGGACCGTAACTACTTGCAAGTTTTGCACCTCCACTATGTCCTAGTGATGCGCAAAGGGTCCAGCAGAGGCTGGAGTTTCCTCTAGTTGTAATAATTGTGGCCAAGTTCGCTTTATACGCCTCGGCTGGAATCGCTGCAAACTTGCAAAGTAGAAAGGAACTGAGCAATGACGTCACTATTAGGTTTCGCCAAGGCACGTACGGCATACCGTTCGTAGGCCAGTTCTGCCTCGATAAACCTTTTGTTTGATACGACGACCATGCATTGTTCCATCGACAACTATTCGTTATTTGACGTTCCCTTGCCCTGTCACACGTTGGAAATTTCATTGCTAACCGCTACGACACGGCGGAATTCTTTCGTTTATGTATATGATTGCTCACTACTATTCGCTTGCCAATTTCTTTTAGCTACTTGCAAACTTGAAATACTCTTAACATTGTCTTTTGTCGTAAGATAGAAGATGTTCCTCGTAGGCAAGCTAGCACTGAACGATGGAATCTACAAGCATTA